CATGCTCTATACAAGTTGGGAAATTTTAAAGATGGACATTCTTCCTTTCATAAACTAAACAGATATGATCATGCTAAATATGTAATATGAAGTATAAAGCTTGTCATTCTTCCTTTGCTCTCTTTGCATTTCTCACTATCAACTGTATAGCTTTGATATTACAAAACTCAGTTAATTGGACGTTTAAGGAAAGACACGTGTCGCAAAAATTTTGTTTTGAGCGATTGTTTTCCATCGAAACATATAATGCCAGCTGTGGTCGTGGGCTCGATAACGCGTCGGAATAAGATAAAAAATAACGAGCCAGTGGGATGGTATTGATATAAGCTCTGTCTCTGCATGAAAGCACAAAAATTCTATGTAATATAGACTACAATATCTAGCTGTCCAAAGAAAAATGTCAGGAATATAGATTGATCAAATAATACTACAAAGGACCATTATATCAAACAAACTCGAACAGGCAGCTTATTCCGTTATACAGGATGTATGGGTGATTCGAAAATTATATTTAAGAAGGATGACGAAAGCCATCAACGGGCTATCGCAAGGTCTACTTAGATGAGAGGAATGGAGAAAGACCTAATTCTGTTCGTACAAATGGTAGTACAGTGCAATTAGAAGTATATGGTGGCACGCTTGCTTCAGACACCCAATTTTGCGTCACGTGGTAGTCACCTGTTTACAAATTATTATATTTTTTTCAAAGGAAACTGTCGCACAAGAAAAAACTAAATCGTTCAGGATGTGGAAGTTTAAATGGATAATATAAATAAGAATGTGTAAAAAACTAGAATAACTCACTGTTTTATTGTCGTAAGCAAAAATAATTATTCATATGTATGCATTTTTCAAGGTCAAATGCATACAGTACATAAAAGAAAAGAGAAATATAACAAACTCTTGTAAATGCGTACGATACGTATCTATTAAGAATTGTTGCCCAATTGATTGAACCTTTAGCGAAATAATGTAGAAAATTAGAAATTTTATATAGTTATTATAGAGCGGTATTTTTTTACACAATAGTTGACTTCCTTAACTTAATCATCAGAACGTAAGACTAGAAAACATGTCATTAGGGATCAAGCGAGGCTCTATTCGATGCGTTCCCATGGCCAGTTCCCTTCTCCATCATTAGATCATCTCCATGTCATAATAATATTGCATTGTCAATTATCATATGAAGTGTCCACCATATTAGATTAAAATGACGTCACTTTGCTTATTGTGTTTGTGACTATGGAAGTTCTACATCAATATTTTGCGGCAACCTCTATATTGGATCTAGAATGACAGGTTGCTTACTGTATCTCTCATCAAGCCTTTTCAGTCGATAACCATATCATAGGGGTAACTATAGAAATTATAAACGCCATCTTGCGTGATCGACATATTTGATTTGAAATGACATTTTGCGTATTGTTTCTCTCAAGCACGCCCTTCCATCTGATGCTCCTATTATAAGGGTGGCTATAGAAATTATAAATCGCCAAATTGCGGTCTGCGTCATTGGATTTGGAATGACGTCAGTTTGCTTATTATGTTTCTCTCATCAAGCTCTTTCAGTTGATACCCATATCATACAGTATAAAAATGATAAAAAAGCCATAATGTAGCATACGCCATATTAGATTCAAAATGGTAGCAGTTAATTCATTATGTGTTGTCACACGAACCAGACAGGCAGTCAAAAGGTTAATTGGTTCAAAATTCAGTTTCAGGATTTGTCTCACACATCCATACTAACGAACTACCACACTAACAGTTACTTGTACAAGGCTTGTAAAAAGTGCAACTGTTAATGCAATTTATATTAAAATCCAAGCTCCAATTAAGCAAGGTGAAAACGGTTCAGGGTATTTTCTTACTCTCTAAAAATACTCCGGATTACCAAACAACCTGAGTAACATTTAATTAGTTTTTTTGCCTACATAAACCAATTTGTATTATCATTCTTTCCGTTTCCGGATTTGAAATCCCTAGTGCACATTTATATAGTGCTTTTATCAAAGCCGAATTAAAATTCAACGTAGATTTCAACTAATCCTCGTAATTTCTCTTGTAATACATATTGGCTCAGCTTGTGAAGAACCCTGTACATGGACAAGTTTGTCATAGTTAATTTTTATGAAAAAAGCAGTTGGGGCTTGAGAGAAACGTTTATAAACTACAATATGTACAGCGAGCGCGAAAATAGTGAATGTTTTCAATGGAAAGTCTGTATAAGTGGATCGAAAAAAATGAGTGGCCAGCATCTCTAACAGGCAAAAGTAATATAGAATGTGTAACGTTAGCAGTCTTTTGTCTACATTTTTCAACATAATTACTTCTGAACTTTAAACTTAATTATACTATTGCAATTAGAGTGCAAAGAAGTGTAGACACTGTGGTTATGTGTTGTCAGGCATGGGTTCGAGAAGGCCGTACGCAAAGAGCAAGGGGCACTGGACGCCGCCGTAGAACAACAGACCGTGAAGATCGCCGCCTAAGATTATTGGCCTTAAGGGACCGTTTACCACTACCAGATCCATTGCAAATGAATGGTTTGCAGAACACGGAAGACCTATTGGCATGCGAAGTGTTTACCGACGAATGAGAAGTTTTGGCTTGTTTTCATACCGGCCACACTGGGTCCTCCCTTTAACTCGAGAACACCGACGTAATCGCCTTGAGTGGTTCAGACAACGGTCACTCTGGGATCAGGAATGGAACCGTATTGTCTTTAGTGACGAGTCTCGATTTTGTTTAGGCATGCACGATGGTAGTGCCAGGGTTAGAAGGCGACGTGGTGAAAGGAGGAATCCACAGTTTTTTGTTGAAAGACATGTTCATCACACTGTTGGAGTTATGGTTTGGGGTGCTATTGCTTATGGTTCCAGGTCACCTTTAATCTTCATCAGAGGTAACATGAACGCGCAGCGTTATATCCACGAAGTTCCAACAAGATAATGCCCGACCACATGTTGCAAGAGTCACAATAGACTTCTTTCAACATAACGATGTCACATTGTTACTATGGCCACCAAGATCTCTCGACTTATCCCCAATTGAGCACGTATGGGATATGATGGGTAGGAGATTGCTCAATTTACAACGTCCTCCTCAGACTCTAGAAGCACTTCGAGAGGAGTTGGTGGTTGCCTGGAATGAGATACCATAGGAGGACATTGACCACCTGATCAGAAGCATGCCTAGGCGCGTTGGAGAATGCGTAGCACATCAGGGTGCATCCACACATTATTCAAGGTCAAAGGGCTTTAAAGCAGTGCAATCATTTTGAAATTTTTATCATTTACTTATTATGCTTCATGAAGTACTTATACAAAATTTTATTAAAATAAAACCATTTAAACTGGGTGTTCGGATTTATATGTCACTTAGTATATGTTGTTAGGATACGTTGTTTAACCAGAGCCCCTTCTATAGTAGCTGATCTGGAATGAAGGATGAAGGAGATACGTGAAAGAGGTTTTCGTCCCTTTAATCAAATTGCAGATAGAACTTAACACTTCATGAACAATTAGTAGCGTTTTTGTTAAGTTCAGTTTTCCAAATTGAAGCTACTGTATTCTAATAGATACCTACTAAAATATAAGACCAGAAAAAAGTTTGTTGAAAGCTTGAATATGTCATCTCTACGCTAAAAGTGGTATTAATCAGATAATGCTTAGACATAACCAACATTTCACGATGCTAATTCACTAATGCGCCCTATTTCAAAAGTTTCACCTTCCACCGACCGGAATTTCTGGAATAAAAATACAGTAGCTTTTAAGAAGCTGATTAATTATTCTTTTTTTTATTTATTTCATTTAACAGTATTTAGACAGTTAGTATTCAATCTTCAGCGTCTTTTTTCTTTTTAACTGTCTTCCATATAGATTTTGTGTTCTTTTTCTTATATAGTGTCGTTCGGAATTAGTGTTGAAATTTTTTATTGTATATTTTTCTTGTCTTTTTGTGTATACTTAATGTGTTTTTTGTTACTTTTTTACACAGTTGGGTTAAGTGTAAGAGTGTGGCTAAACTTTGCCTCGCTCATGTGCTTCAATAAAGTTCTTTATTATTACTATCACTATTACATTTCAGGTTAGCCGCTATTTTTATCAGCATTAACTTCACTAAATATGGAATTTTATACGTTAAGACGATTCGTTTAAAATTACATTCCCCAATTTTATTTCCGACATTTCTCTATTTCTCTCTACATATCAGATATTTGTAAATTGATACGGTCCTCTGGAGTTATGCTTTTTGCTGTTGATACACAAATCTGTGAAATATTTTGATTCCGATGACTGTACATCAGCTATTGACGAGTTGAGTTACGACTTAGCCACCATTGTCAGTTTCTCCCTTAACACTTAATGCCTCTAAATCTAAAACTGTTCCCTTTGCACCAAAAGATAAAATATTAGACGAGTGTCTTACTTGACAATGATTTATGTTTTCGTGAGCATATATCTAAATTAGTAAGAAGCTTGCTCCGTTGTACTAAAAACATTTCTTGCAAATATAGGCATTTCATCAATTTCAAATTGGAAAAACATCTTTGTGAAAGCTTAGTTTTTTATCCTTACCTAGATTGAGCGTCAATTGGTACACCACAACTGATTCAAAATTTGCCTTTTATACGGTTTAACAAATATGACCATCTGTCACACTGTATTCGTAGTTCAAAATGCTTAGTTAGATATTGGTCGTTCTCGTAAATGTTTGTACTCGTATAATACCTCTCCAAAAAAATTGTTTTCAGACAGTATTTTAGGGAGCGCATGCTCAGATATATCAAATTATTAGAGATGCACAATACCGTACGGCTTTATTTACACGTTAATTTAGTTATAATTGAGGCAAATTGTATTTGCATCCAAAAATGTATCTAAATTTAAGTTTTGTTTCAAGGAGCATCCATTATCAAAAGAATCGTGGTAGTAATAAGTAATAGTTTGTAGATTTGAATAATATTAAATTTGTAATCTTGATTTTGTTTTCAGGCCATGCAGTGGCCCGGTTTCGTGCTGAAGACAACCGTAGTGATTTGGCTAGCGGTATTGGGCCAAAATGGGGCTAAAGCAGAAGCCAATGTTGGTAAGTCATAGATGTTAAATATAATTTTATAAGCAAGTGTTTGCCAAGCGTATTCAACAAACTCAAAGATAACACTCAAAAGTCCATTGAAGCTGGAATATGTTGACTTTACTAACATTTACCTACCTCAGTGAAGAAAAATGCTATTATTGGCCAAACGTTCTTATATCGTTAGGGCTATGCATATAATGTGCTAAGGCAATAATGAACTTCTTCATCGAGGTATGTATTGTTTTCATTACTAACTGTGACATACTACCACATTTAATTTGATTCGACTTTGCATATCCGATAATTTCCTTAATGTCCGGCAACACAGACCGATAAAGCCAACGCAATGTCTGCATATGTGTGCCTATATGTTTACATTGCATTGTTTGTCGCTAAAATTGCGTAGTATTAGTACATACCTTTGACTCATTTGACTACCAACGCCTACCAAAGTGACATTGTTTTATCAACACAATAATAAAGCTTGCCGCTGGAAACATCGGCCTTCATTGGGCTTGTGTCGCTCTTTGCAAATTATGTAAGAAGTACCATGTATTGAAATCGTTATCTGCAAAAACGTACTTTTAAGAAAATAACACTAAAATACTTTGACTACTGACTATATGAGAATTCCTTGACTGGCTTTTTCTACCTAGTCTGAATTTGATGGTGCGAACAGAAACTTCCAATCAGCAATACATAATATCTGCGGCAGAGGAGTGGCTTTCAGGAGACGGACAAAATTTTTACCGGGAGGGTACAAACGCTGCAGCACCATGTAAACGAAAGCATTGGTGTTAGAAGAAAGAAAAATAAAACGTATGAATTGGCTAAAGCTTTATTGCTTGGAGGTCAATCTTTCGGGATCATGAAAAAATGTGACAGTTTCCTGAAGAAATGTAGCACGGGCCTTCCGAACAAATAGACAGTTAAGGGAGGCTTTGAAAACATTTCTCGAGCGTTATTTGAACGATAATAAAAAGGGAATGCGCTATAAATAATGCCTTTATATTAGTCCCTGAGTTTTTTCCTGTAAGAATCATCTCATCGATGTTCCAAATGGCACTGCAGCCTATATGGGGATCAGTTCTGGAAATAAGGGAGTAGAATAACTGAGACAACGTGGACACTGTTCTATTAACTTTCGTTGAAGTGAGTTTCTGAACACCGATAGAAGAGTCGCTTCTCGGAAGAAAAAGTGTGAAAAACGTATAAAACCGGTCCCACGCGATGTGGCGAACGCCTTGCAGCGTTGGACACATGACCATTCGCCACTTCGTGTGGGAGTGCGCTGACGGGTTGCATGTGTCCAACGGTCTCCACATGGCACGTTCGGACTCTTGTCGGTAACTTTGACCCGCGTCAAAGGACGTTAGAACGTTGGAAGTTTTAGGTTAGAACCAGTAGCGGCGAAAAACATTATTTACTTGTTTGCTGTGATTGTGGTGAAGTAGTGGTATGTGGGAAGTATTTTGATTTGAATACCTACCTATTCATAATCATGTATGTTCCGTAACTAACTAACTTTTGAGGAGAATGAATTAAATTAGTATACAAACAAAGCATAGGCTGCCATAGCAATACTTTCTTCATATTGCTAATATCTTGTACGTTTCGCAGGTGAGTTATGGCTCGCCTAAGGATATGTATTTTAGTAAATTATAAAATATCAAGTGCTTACAGTTGTTTCGCTATAATGTCCTGTGGCAGTGCACGACTAGTTGAGAAATATATAGACTTGCATTTCATAACAAACGAAATCGATTAAATAAATGATAACTCAGAAAGTACTATCAGGATTTTGATGAAATTTTGACCCTAGGTTACTATTATGAAAACGATACATGATACATTCACAAACTTATTTGAAAAATGCCGACTGCTGTCAGAATTTGGGATTGCATTCAAAAGGGGGCACTCGATATAGGTGTATGTTACTTAAGAAATGACTTTAAGGCTTATTGCACCTCGCTCCTAGTCGCTTACAGTACAAAACTTAGCACTCTTGAATTCTGCACTAACAATCTTCTACTTACTATTGGAATTTTTAAATAAAATAAGTTTATAAGGCAAACACATGCCTTATATTAAACCATAACAATACCATGAATAATGATGATAATGAATAACCACTGTTAAGTTCTATTTCCGATCCCTTTATATTTTTGTATTAACCATTTTTTCCAATGCTATGTTATTATTCTGGAGAGATTCGATAATGTATATTAAGTAGCCCCTCTTAAAAATATCCATATCGGCTGATACGTTTATAATGAAGCGGAATTTATCATCCACCGGAATTTATAATAAAAAATCTATTATACCTAATGAAATGCCGAATCCCTTCTTGCTTTTGCCCCTCATATCTGGTCTAATTTTAGAAACGTTGAAAAAATATTGATTTAATATGATACTTTTTGCGTTTTCCAGGTTGCCTTTACAGCGAGAGAATGTGCTTGGAAAATGAATGGTGCTATGATGGTAAGTTGATTGACCTTACGACCTTCTGAGTTGATTGAGGATAGATCGTGCGCGTAAAAGGCGATCTATATCTATATTATTATAATAATGATATTTATCTACCCAAAGTTCAACGAAAGCAAAGTATGTTAAGATGTAAAACCATGGCTTCACAGAAGGCACTGCTTGTTCATGGACCAGAAGGTTTATGTTGCAACTGTATAATGATTATATTTGTTGTATCCACTCAAATTTTTTTTGGAGTAAATAAAACGTTGGTGCTACATAGAGATACGACTGCATCACAAATTTATGTGGTTTCGTAACCACGGTTCCACGCATTTTTTATTGCTGTTGATAAATTTAGAACACAGGGTGATAGTACGAAGCAAAGCTCACCTTTGTTGCGACAAAAAGATGTCAGATCATTAATTCAAAGTATGGTGAGAGTGCATGGAGCTAAATATGGAGGATGTGCACATTATTCCAAACGTAAATGAACTTATGAAAAAATTGGTCAAATTTGAACAAAATGGTTGCAGTTGATTGTTGGTACTATATGTTAGTAGTCACCGATCTTGGCGGGTCAAAGTAAGACTACCAGTATCCCTTTATATCTCTATCTCCCTCATACATACACAAGCATGTTACCCCTGTGTGTCAACGTTTGTTCGGTACGCTCAAAGACATACGTTTTTTAAATGTGTGTCTCCGTCTCGAAAACTTTGTCGTTACGTATGAGTGCCCTTCAATCATATTTGTCAAAGTGATAACTTACTTGACATCGGCGTTCAATTCGAATTGTCCTGGTATCAATCTTCAATATAAAATTGTACAATGCCCGGAAATACGATAATGGAGTCGGCCGAAAGCTCCTGCTAAATTTATTAGAGTATTTCCAGGAAGAGAATGAAAACAGCGGTGCCCTGTTACCCATTTCATGCGTACTGGAGAGAGTAGCAGATGCGCTGAAGATTAGTCTGCGCAGTGTTCTGCCCATGGTACGGAGATTCGATCTGTTTACTTATTTCACATGGCGTTGATGACGTAACCGCCAGGAACGATGACTGAAATTTTAGGAGTATTGCAATCGCGAAGAATTTCATTTCTAAAATGAGATAAAATTATATATATTTTTTTTATTACATGATATGTACATCACGAAAAACCATGTCACTCATTTCCGTCGGTCTGTCTTTCTGTCTGTCCGCTAATCCTTGGCACCTCTATAACTTGCAAAGTACCGCTCGAATGTTTATGAAATGTTCTCACAAGTTCACTATGAAGGCCAAAGACAAAAAGCTTTATAGTTTTTGAAAATCGGTCCAGGAACGACGGAGCTAGAAACAAAAAAGTAAAGTATGCAAGTCGCTCAGACTTCGTTTTCTGACGTTTCGGAGGGTCCTGATCCAGCCGAGGTAATTATCACATATTTCACTCATCATAGATTTCCCCGTACATTGATCCTTAAAACTTGAAATGGAGAAATATTTCCGGCCCCCGCCAGTCAATCATATGTTTCGCGGTCCTGTCGATGAATGCGTGTAGCAATCGGCCTCGATTGGATGTGAACCGACCGTCATAATCGCATGATGTACACATCAAAAGATAACTTTTGTGTGACGGCATATTTTCTCACTGAGCCAGATCCTCAAATCCCAAGATTGTAAAAAAAACATTGCAAATATGCAAATTTTAGTTGTATTTGTCTGTCTGACTACTTTATCGTTAAATTATTTTTCTACATGTTATCAGAGCTTGTGCCGAACATAATTGCTTATAACTGATGATAGCGTTGCACAGGAAGTGCGGAGTCAACCTACTTGATGTCATTTTTTTACAGATCTAGCGTTTGGCAGATGCTTGAGGCCAATGGGCGATGTGGATGAGGAGGATCTTGTTAGGTAAGTGACTTTTTCTACTAACTACATAATTATATGAAACGGAGCCCCCTGGGGGGACCCCTGTTCTTGAATGAGGGAATAGAATAATTGAGAGAAGGTATACGTGGTTCTCTTCACTGGGGAATTCTGGAGAGCTGTCAAATAAGTTTGCGAATGCATTCAGTTTGGCCAAAATTATACATCTAAGTTCTTCATATCATTTAACGTTCCATTCCAGCTAAGTTAACTTCGTCTTTATAGATGAGACCGATGGTCGACGACGACAGTTTCGCACTCTTTTCTCGCTAGGATGATTCGGGGAGCGGCTATTTTATTAGAGTTCAGGTATACGGATCAGGTTCATTTGAAGTTTTCTTTAATGGAAACCTTTATATTTGGCACTAGAAATTCAAAGAGCCGCAAAGTTTACCCTGAAAATAATATTCAAGTTTACATTACATCGCTTGTACCTACATATATTCATTTCGGTATAATTATAAATTTCTATTACCACTACTAAAATGGATTCTGGTGGGTGTATACAGTATGCTGTTAGCGGAATTCATAATTGGGAGGGATGATGAGGTGCTAAATTTATAACCAGATATACCTATTATATATGCTGGATATGGGTAGCAAGCAGTTATCTGAATCACTAAATCAATTATCTCATTTTGATATCAATTACCAAATTTCCATATTATTTTCACGAATGGCTTCTTCTCACACTTGAAATCAAATAATGTGGATATTAACTTTCTAGGAAACCAAACAACTTTCAAAACAAATATATCGATAATATGAAATATGCATGTGACTCAAATAACACTAAATTATTTTTATTCGCAGACTATATTGCATAAATAAAACTGACAACGATATGACATTATACCTAATAAGATACCTAACCTAACACATGACCCAAAAATACCAAAAATGACACAAAAGCACTATACAGGGTGTTATATTATGTTGAGCATTCCACTATTCCAATCCATCATTTTTCCTTCTTTTTCTTAACCACCTCTTGCAGATGCAGCAATATACAGGGTGTCCGCAAAGTTGGGGTTTTCCTTTTCAGAAACAACTACCCTTGTAATAACAAAGGTAATGTGTAGTGAAACGAGGGCGACCAAGTAAAAAAAAATAAAGGAAAAAGTACTCACTCTCCAGTTGACTAGAAGGGCAAAGTACGTTTCTGCCTGAAATCAAAAGTTATTCACCCCATTACGCGTGAACGTAGATTCGTCTGTCACCAATATGCGCTTCAAAAAGTCCGGATTATTGTCATGTTGATGCAACAACCACTCACAAAACCGCACTCTTGCTGGAAAATCGTCAGGTTGAAGGGCTTGTACACGTTGGACGTTTGCCACACTTTAGAGCTTTTGATACTTGCACTTCTCTAGCCACGTCTCTAGTGCTTGTTGAGGGATTCTCGTCTACGCGATTCAGTAGTTCTTCCTCAACTTGCACCATTCGTGGTTGTCTAGGCCTTCCACTGTGCCCACCTCGAAATTCCTCCAAATGGCCCGTATCCCTGACTCTCTGATACACAAATCTGCGGGGCCTTGGATGATGTCGTCTAGGGAAACGATCTGCATACACTCGCGCCGATTCTGTATCATTTTGAAGACATTCGCCATGAATTAACATCATATCAACCAGTTCATTATTGGTGTATGAGTGTGCCATTATTATTTTTTTTTTTGAAACGCAATCGATTATACGGGTTCGTTACCTCTATACGCGTGACCATTTACCGTCGGTTGAAGGTTGCATACTGACCTGACACACTGACCCCAACCCCCGACCCAGTTCTGTCGTCGGGTTCAGCTAGTAGCCGGTACCAGTCTGAGATATCGCGGGTCGCGGCTACAGGACGGTATTCAGATATTTTTGATGTTGCAGAGCCCTTTATCTCGGTTCCCTTAAGACATTGGTGTATATGGTACTAAGAAAAATTGCTTATGTTTTCAAGATCTACACGTCGTGTAAAGGAAAACCCCAACTTTGCGGACACCCTGTATATGGTTATGTAATGAAATAGTTGCAGCTGCATAATTTCAGTAACGGTAGTATCAGCATGATATTGCCGATGGAGATGTGATGTGTAATCAAAAAGGGAAATAATAAACAGAATGCATATTTATTTTTAGTTAGGTTTTCAAATAAAATACAATGTGGTATTTCCTTCTTTCCCCTTTCCTCATTTTTTCCTGTAAGTCTGAGGCATTGTAATAGCACTCTTATCCTCTGCCTGGATCCATGCCTGCTCTCCGTATTGTGATTCAGACGCAATGCTGTCAGACTGGCCAGATATTTATATATACAGAGATTTGAGCATCATGAAGCGGAAGGAAAAACACTTAATCATTCAAGTAAATCCATGAGCAATTTATTCCACTTTCGGGCCACGGCTTCCTTCCTTCACGTCATATAAAGCCAGTCGGTGTTATCGACTGCGACTGGAATTTACTCGCGAAAAGTGGTCCTAGGTTTGGCGTGGTAGTAAGAAATTGCGAAGAAACCAAGTGCCAGCGAACTTAAGCAGGAGTCATAATCATAGCGATGCACGATATACACAAGCTCGGAGAGCTTTCTTGCATTTGAATATTAATATATGCATGAGGTGTGTAGAGAGGCTGCCAAATTATCACTTAGCCAATAAATCGGCAAACTATCTGAACGTCCATTATACTCGCTTCACGAAAACTCAGGCAATTTTTAATTGATGATATAATCGAATACACATATGATGAATTGCTGTAATTTTTCAGACAAACTGTGACAACATAGTTTTTTTAACAACTAAGGTTTAACAAAATCAAAGTGTGACATTCTACTTATCTTTGGAATCAGAGTTAAACACTCGCTTCCCCTTTGTAAAAACTCAATACGGGGTCCTAAGAAAAAATACAATTGACGATTGATTGCAAGAGACGCAACAACATATTGAAATCATAATTATGCCATCTTGTACAGAAGAAAAACTGACAATATTAACACGCAATTTCTTTTGAATACGTACCTCAAATGAAGTCTGAAAAAAATAAAAACGATCCCAAACTATGACTTACTGCACTATACAGGTTGATACATTATTATTTTGATTGATAAAAAGTAATTTCTAATTTTTAATTATAGTATCGCCAGGAATGTTTGAGCCAACCCATTCGCAACATATTTTTTTGCATACTAAATTTGATGTAAAATAGTTTTCATCCATTAAACACATTGTTAAAAGTCGTTTCTAATTTGAATCATAAGCAATACTCTTCACTGGTTCAACATTTTTATTTCGGACTTGCACCACCACGTTGTGATTTATAAAATTGTATAGACATTTAAAGTCTGGAATAAAAGTTTCTAAACATCTACGTTGTCTACAAACTTTATACAACAGTTTTCACTGGGTTGCATTAAATCCGAAAAGGGCACTATGAGCTTGTACAACGCAATATTTAGTTGCTTTTGTTGCGCTTTGCCAGATAGGTTGGCAGCGGAAAGCTTTTAAAAGCTTTTCAGTAATAAATTCCAAGTTAAACTTCCCGCTCAAACATCACTGTTTCAAACGAGATTTGTCGGAGCATGAACTTAAATTCAATTTCCAATTCAAAACAGGGAGCTTGATATTCTGTGAAGTTCTAACTCATGGATGGAACATTGTTTCCTAGAAATGCTACGCACTTCCGTTCGCACGTCAAGCTCTTGATCTCGAGGAATTGTAATTTAAAAAAACTGGAAAATACCACTTTTGGAGATGTTCTTACGTTGGTGGTATAACATAAGCAATGATGACGGAAGTTGTCGATCTCAATCTCAAACGTATCCAAAATAGAATGGAGTAGATTATTTGTTGCTTTCAAAGTTACTTGTAGTCATTCTAAAGTGATAGTAATTGTGAAAATCGAAATCTTAAGGACCGAAATAAGTTGACTCTCTCCAGAAATCATATAAAGATCTCTTAACTTTCTGTTTTTACTTTCTACGACTACTGGCGAGGAAGTATTGTAATCGCGAAAAATTTCGAAAAATGCGTCATTATGTTTTTCGGTTGTTATATGACATCTACAGAGAGAAATTCGTGCGGGCCCATATGATCGTTGCTATGACTTATCCTACGTGGATCACGATATTGACTTTTACGGCATTCAGCCCACAGCAGCACAGAAGCAAAATTACCAGGAGCCTCTGAAACGCCAAAAAAAACGAAATTTGAGTGATTTGTGCTTTTTCATGTTTGGCCTTTTCTCCGATTTTTGAAAACTGCAAAGCTTTTTCGTTCTTGGTACACACCTTGTGTGAAAATTTCATACGGATCCGAGCAGTACTTTCCAAGTTATAGGCGTTTCAATGGTTAGCGGGCAGAAAGACAGGCCGACAGACAGAGGGACCGGCGTGTGACATGGTTTTTCGTGATGTACAATGTCGTATAAAATCCGAAAAATTTGATATCTCATTTTCGAAATTTTTCACGATTACAATACTTTCTCGTCGGCAAGAGTGGGAAATGAAATAACCTAAATTCTTCGCATATTTTATAATATCAAGCAATGAAGGAAAAAGACCAGTATATGGCGAAATAGAATATGACGAAACAGAACAGAACAATAAATTATTTCCAAGGAGTTATGGCCAGTGCCGTCGCGCCGTATGATTACGTTAATTGCTCTTCCCTTGTGAGCTTCGACAATCAAATCTAAATTTAGAAACTTTGATAATCCGTATTAATCAATGCTTTGAATAAATGCTTAATGAGGCCTCCTCCAGCTAAATTAAGCACCTACCCTGACCTATACTGTCCTATTTTCTATTTCTGCGTACACCCACTATAAAGGGTCTATCAACTGTAGCATTTTGTTCGATATGTTGACTTGCGTCTGGGGTATTTGATTAGCAAGACAAAAAACTACCTTAAAGATATACTGGATATATACTGATAGTTAGCAGTATGGTTTTGTGGCACAAAATCACACAGTATCAGCACATTTTAGGGGAAGGTGCATAGTGCATACGGG